ATATATATATATATATAAAACTGAATCACTTTGCTGTACAGCAGTAATTAACACAACATTGTAAATCAACTATACTTCAATAAAAAAATAAGAAGAAAAAGAAAAAATAAGTAAATCAGGCGTTCTCTAACTTGACATATTGATATTTGGGGCCAGATAATTCTTTGTTGCAGGCGGCTGTCCTGTGAATTGTAGGATGTTTAACAGCATCCTTTCCTCTACCCTTCCCCCCCACACAGTTGTGACACCAGATTGTCTCCAGGCATTGCCAATTGTATCATCGCATTGCCATTGTATCATCGCCCTTGGTTGAGAACCACTGGTCTAAATATATAGCTGTATCTTTTTACCCAATCACATGAAAAACTTATCCAAACTCAGAGATTCCTGGGAATTTCTTGCAAGTTTCCAAGTTCTTTTAATTAGTATAGAATAGCCACACTTTTCTCACTTCAACTTTTGGTAAAGAGATTTATTTTCATTTTGCTGTTTATTTCCTCTCTTTGGTCTTTCTCATGCATCACACAGCTACTCTGTTTCTTCATTTCCATGCCAAATAACAGCTACTCTGTTTCTTCATTTCCATGCCTGGAAGCAGGGAAGGAGAAGGAAAATTGAGCACTTGCTGCTCAGGACCATTTTGCTGGGCTCAAATAGAGATGAGCCTGTCACAGTTGGCACAGTGGCTTCTAAGTGTGTCAAGAACAGTAGCTAAGAAAGGCTCTTCAGACAGCCTGGTTTCAGGCACAAATTTCAGAGATCTCCTGAGAGTGTATTTTCCTTGAGTATATTTTGTTCATTTAATCATGCTAAGGTACTAAAAGGAAAACCACCACTCTTAACAAAAGGGGGTTGGAATTTTACCAAGGGGCAGGGGATGACCCTCATCACTCAGTAGTTTATGACTACAGCCCTATGATCAAAGGACAATTTATTTAGGTGACATGAATCTTCTATCCCACTGGGACACGAGACCCTGAGGCCACAGGTGGCCCATCAGGAGCCAGGCAGAGGTATGCACACCTTTTGTTGACAGCGTCCAGCTGGACCTGGAGTGAGGCCTTGTGCTGCTCCACCACGTCCTTGAGGGGGACTGTGGGGTGTTCCGCATGCTCTCCCTCCGTGCACTCCCGACACATGGCAGTCTCGCAGGACTGGCAGTAAAAGTCCATCACCTGCGGGTGACACAAGAGCAGTTCCAGGTTTGGTGCCAGTGACTGAGTGCTGACCATGCACTAAGCCTTCACTTGCACTTTCTCAGTTAATTCTCACAGCCTCCCCAGGATGTGGGCAGTATTATATCCAGTTTCACAGGAGAAAAGGAAAGATAAACTTTTATGTTCCAGGTCTCGAACAGAGGTGGATAGGACTCCAAAGCTGTTGCTATGGCCACAAAACCAGCTTTTCTTGGCCACTCCCCTAAGACAGAACAGTATAGGCCTTTGGTACTCAAACTTTTTGGTCTCAGGACCCCTTTCCACTCTTTATACATGATTGAGGATTCCAAATGCTTTGTGTTTATATAGTTATATCTATAGCTGTTTATTATGTTAAAAATGGAAACTGAGAAACATTCAAAATATTGATTAATTTATCAAAAGCAAAAATAAATGTTAACATTAATAATATAGTTTATGAAAAGTATATTTTGCAAAACAAAAATTTTGTGAGAAGAATGGCATTGCTTTTCATATTTGTAAATCTCTTTAGTGCCTGGCTTCATAGAAGACAGCTGGATTCTCATATCTGCTTCTGCATTCAATCTGTTTTGCTAGCACACATAGTAGAGTCTCTGGAAAATGCCACTGAATACTCTTGAGAGATTGAGAGTAAAAAAGGTAAATAGGGCTTCCCTGGTGGCACAGTCGTGGGTCCCCTGAAGGGGTCTGGAGACCCATGAGAGCTCCTGGATTGCACCTTGAGAATGGCTACTAAACGTTTGGATAAGAGATGAGCTGGATGCAACAGTTTGCATCCTGGCTCCACCACTTACGTGACCTCACTGTGTCTCAATTTTCGCTTTGGCAAATGGAGACAGTCGTGTAACGTACTAATCTACTTCATAGGGCTGCTATGAGGATTTGGTAGATTAATATGCACAAAGAACTCAGATGATGCCTGCAACTGGCACGTAGTAAGTTCTTAATAAGTAGTAGCAGTGATGACAGCGCTGATGATATCATTTGCCTACCTGAAAATAAAACCACCTTACCCTGACTGTGGTGAACTCTCGGTATCAATATAACATAAAGCCTGAAGGTTAGTTTCCTTGTGAAGGCATTCCCCTTATTCTCTCAGCTGGAAATAACTTCTTCCAATATTGAATTCCCAAAGCACTTGGGGCGGGGGGAATCTTTTTCTTGAAGTATAACAAGAAAATGGCATAAATCCTAACACAGATTGATGGATTTTCATAAAGTGAATGCACCCACTAAAGCAATTTTATTCATATCCCTTTTATGAAATATTTATAAGATTTTAAGTTACTGAGCACTGAAACTCTCTCACCCAGAGCCTAGATAATTCCCTGCACATAGTACATCTATAATAACATTGCTGAATGTGTGAACTCTATGCTGTTTATAAGAGACTCACATTAGGTTGAAAGTAAAAAGATGGAAAAAGATATTCCATGCAAAGAGTAACCAAAAGAGAGCTGGAGTAGCTATTCTAATATTAGACAAAACATGCTTTAAGACAAAAGTTGTTATAACAGACAGAAAAGGACATTATCAACTATACTTCAATTAAAAAAGGACATTATATAATAATAAAATGGTAAATCCATCATTTATTAATAAATATGTAACCAACAACAGAGTCCCAATATATATCAAGCAAAAACTGACAGAATTGAAGGGAGAAATGGAGAGTTCAATAATAATGGTTGGAGGTTTCAATATTCCACTTTCAATAATGATATAACTATTAGACAGAAGATCAGTAAAGAAATAGAGAACTTGAACAACATTATAAACCAACTAGGCCTAACACACACATGTGGAACACTCTGTTTAATAACAGAAGACACATTTTTGTCAAGTACACACGGAACATCTTCCAGAAGAAAGCATACATTGGGTCACAAAAGTCTCAATAAATTTAAAAAGACTGAAGTCATATAAAGTATCTTCTCTGGCTACAGTAGAATGAAATTAGAAATCAGTAACATAAGGAAATCTGGAAAATTAACAAATATGTGGAAATTAAATAACACAAACAAATAATGAGTCAAAGAAGAAATTACAAGGGAAAGTACAAAATATTTTGAGATGAATAGAAACACAACATATCAAAACTTATGACAGTGCTCAGAGCAAAATTTATAGCTGTAAATGTCTACATTGAAAAGAAGATCTCAAATCAATAACCTAGGCTTCCACCTTAGAGAACTAGGAAAAGAAGAACAAACTAAACCCAAAGCAAGCAGAAGAAAGGAAATAAAGATTAGTGTGGAGATCAATAAAATGGAGAATAGAAAAACAATAGAATCAATGAGCCAAAAGTTGGTTCTTTGTAAGAATCAACAAAATTGACAAACAGAATACTATGGACTGTTGTATGTCAATAAATCAAATAACCTAGATAAAATGGAATTCCTAGAAACACACAAACTACCAAAACTAACTCAGAGAAGAAATAGAACATATGAATAGGCCTACAATAAGTAAAGGGATCAATCAATGCTCATAAAACCCCCACAAAGAAAAGTCCAGGGTGAGATGGCTTCACTGGTGAATTCTACCAAACATTTCAAGAAGAATTAACACCAATCCCCAAACTCTTCAAAAACAGAAGAGAAGGGAACATTTCCTAATTCATTAGGCCAGTAATATACTGGCACCAAAGTCAAAGACATCACACAAGAAAAGAAAATTAAAGACTAATAATCCCTATGAATATAGGTGCAAAAATCCTTAACAAAATTCTAGTAAACTGAACCCAGCTGCATATTAAAAAGATTAAACACCATGACCACGTGGGATTTATTCCAGGAATGCAAGGGTAGTCCACATACAATAATCAGTATATGTAATCCACGCTAATAACATGAAGGGGAAGAATCCCACATGATCTGATCAGTAAATACAGAAATAGGATTTGACAATACCCAACACCCTTTCATGATAAAAAACAAAACAAAAAACACATCAAATTAGAAATAGAAGGAAAATTCCTCAACTTGAAAAACCGGCATCTGCAAAAACCCCACAGCTCACTTAATGGTGACTCCCTCCTAAGATCAGGAATATGACAAGGATGTCCACTTTTGCCACTTCTATTCAACAAGGTACTGGAAGTTTTAGCCAGAGCATATAGGCAAGAAAAATAAAATGCATCCAAACTGGAAGAGAAGAAGTAAGAATTTCTCTATTCAGAGATGACTTATATATGGAAAATCCCAAAGAATGTACACATGTGCACGTGCACACACACACACTATTAGAACTAACAAATGAATTCAGCAAAGCTTTAGGATACAACAACAACAAACAAAAATCAGTTGTATTTCTATACACTAGCAATGAACAATCCAAAAATGAAATTAAGAAAATTCCATTTATAATAGCATCCAAAAGAATATAAAATACTTAAAGAATAAATTTAACAGAGAAGGTACAAGACTTGTACACTGAAAGCTACAAAATATTGTTGAAAGAAATTAAAGAATACCTAAATAATGGAAATAAATGGAAAGATATCCCATGCTCATGAATTGGAAGACTTAATACTGTTAAGAGGGCAATATGCCCAAATTGATCTACAGATTCAATGAAATATCTATCAAAATTCCAACTTCATTTTTCACAGAAGTGAACAAGCTGTTCCTAAAATTTATATAAAATTACACTGGTACCCTGAAGAGCCAAAACAACCTTCAAAAGAAGAACAAAATTGGAAGCCTCACACTTCCCTATTTCAAAACTTACTACCAAGCTAGAGTAATAAAAATTGTGTGTTACCAGCATAAGGATAAGCATATAGATCAATGGAATAGAATTGAGAGTCCAGAAATAAAACCATACATTTATGGTCAACTGATTCTTGAAAAGGGTGCCAGGACCACTCAATGGGGGAAAAGAGTCTTTTCAACAAGGGATGTCAAGACCACTAGATATCTACGTGTAAAAGAATGAAGTTGAAACCTTACCTCACTCCATATACAAAAATTAACTCAAAATAGATTAACAACCTAAATGTAAGAGGTAAAACTATAAAAATCCTAGAAAAAAAACCATAGGGTTAAATTTTCATGACCTTGGACTTGGCAATAGATTCCTAGATATGATACCAAAAACACAAGCAAAAAAAGAAAAAGTAGATAAATTGGACTTCATCAAATTAAAAACTTGTGTATCAAAGGGCAGTACCAGGAAAGTAAAAAGAATGGGAAAAATATGTCCTAGTTATATATCTGATAAGGATGTAGTATCCAGAACATACAAAGAACCCCTGCAACTCAAGAACCCAATTCAAAAATTGTCAAAGGAATTAAATAGACACTTCTTCAAAAAGGGTAAACAAATGGCCAATTTTCACAGGAAAATAATCTAACATCATTAGTCACTAGGAAAATGCAAATCAAAACTGCAGTGAGACACCACTTCACACCAGCTAGGAGGGCTAGACTCAAAAAATAACCTTCCTCAAAGGTTAAACATTATCATATGACCCAGCAATTCCACTCTCCTAGGTATCTACCCAAGAGAACTGAAAACGTATGTCCACACAAAAACTGTACATGAATGTTCATAGCAGCATTATTCATAATAGCCAAAAAGTAGAAACAACCCAAATATCCATCAACTCATGAATGCATAAACAAATTATGGTATAATATTTAGCCATACAAGAGGAATGAAGTTCTGATATACGCTGCAATATAGATGAACCTTGAAAACATTATGCTAAGTGATAGAAGCCAGACTCAAAAGGCCACATATTGTAGAATTCCATTTATATCAAATGTCCACAATGTACAAATCCTTAGAGACAGAAAGCAGGCTGGTGGGTGCCAGGGTTTGGGGTGTCGGGGACGGGATGAGGAATGGCTGCTTAACAGGTATGGAGTTTCTTTGGGGGATAATGAAAAACTTCTGGAATTAGATAGTGGTGATGTTTGGACAACCTTTTAAATATGCTAAAAGCCATTGAATTGTACACTTTAAAGGGG